CTCCATTATTGATTTTCTCTCGTCTCTCCCATCTTTTCACCCCATCCGGCCGCCTCTTGATCCGATCCACAAGATGCTGTTCACTTTTTCTCCGTAAAACTGCAGAATCCTTCGCCAGGCAGAAACAGGAGGCCCCCCCCCCCCCCCCCCCCCCCACCCCCCAGTGCCTGGAAGGCGGCCACCTGCATACAGGTAGCCCTCAACAGACACCAGTTCGTTTAGTGGCCGTTTAGTGAAATTCACTTAACAAGTGCCTCACTTAGCAACAGAAAGGTTGGGCTCCATTGCGGTCGTTAAGTCGAGGATTCCCTGTATTCAGCTTGTCTGAGGAAAGTTGAAATACAAAACAACCAAAATTTTAAATATTTAAATTGTTCAATGTTTTTTTTAAAAAAAAACCAAACCCCACATCAAACGACATTAAAAAGTAAAAATATCTTAGGGGGAAGAAAGATGAACACATAAGCATATAACATCCTCCCTAGTTGAATGCTAATATAATACAACTATATTAGAAGAGAGGAGAAGTAGAGAAAGAATAGAATAAGAATAGAATAGACAATTGAACAGAATAGAATAGGGAATAGAAGAGAGAATAGAAGAGGAGAGGAGAAAAGAAGAGAAAAAAGAGAAAGTATAGAAGAGAAGAAGGTATAGAAGCGAAGAGAAGGTAGAGAAGAGAATAGAGAAGAAGAGAAAGAAGGTATAAAATAGAATAGAAATAAGAAAAAAGAAGAGAAAGTATAGAAGAGAAGAAGGTATAGAATAGAAAGAAGAGAAAGTAGAGAAGAGAAGGAATAGGAATGGAATGGAATGGAATTGAATTTCTTTTTTGGCCAAGTGTGATTGGACACACAAGGAATTTGTCTTCGGTGCATAAGCTCTCAGTAAATAAAAGCTATAAATGATAAATCATGTTCATAATCCATCATAAACATACACGCATCATAAATCATAAGATACAACACTTGGTGATCGTCATAGGATCTTAAATAAGCAATCAACATAAAATCGTATTAGGAAACTAAGCCCAATAGATTACAGTTTTAACTATAATAATCATTAAAATATTAATTAATTATTAAATAAAATAATTAAAAATAATAGATTACAATTGTAGCCGTAAAGATTACAAGCCACAAAGTTTAGAGTCGTAAGAAGATAAGATAGATGATAGGAAAGGCGTGAAGGATAATAGCAATACAGCCTTACTAAATAGCTTTGGGAATCAGTAATACTAAATGTATTACTAAATGTAATTTTAATAATACTAAATGTTGTGGGAATTAGGGGTTCAGTGTTAATTCCCCACCCCTTAAAAAAAAAACAGGTCCCCAATTTTTATTTTTTAGAAAAACTACTCCACTCCTAAACCTGTTTGCAAATTGTGTAGTTTGTCACCTCTCTTTCTTGGAAAAAAACAAAAAACAAACAAACCCAAGCGGGTCAAAAGAACACTAACGCTTTCTTCCTCTTTTGACATATATTCTTTTGAAACGGAGAGCTCACCACCGCACCGGCCTTGCTAACTTTACTTTTTTTTTTTCTTCTTTTTTGTGTCTTTCTTTTTCTCTCTCTCTCTCTCTCTCTCTCTCTCTGTGTTCTCTTACATGGCGCTGGCGGATCAAAACACACCGTTGGCGGGACGACCAACACCGATCTGGGGGTGTGTGACCGTTTGATGCGGGGGCCTTCAAAATGGCGTCGGACTAACGTGTTTGTTTTTGTTTTGTTTTGTTTTGTTTTGAAATTAACCCATTTGGGGGGAAATTGATCTTTCTCTTCCCCCTTTTTTTCTACCCCCCCTTTTTTTTGTTTGTTTTGGGGACGGGGTGATATGGGGCTGGTGGGAGAGGTCTGGTTTTTCTTTTCTTTTTTTCCCTTTTTTTTTTCCTCCTTTTTTTTCCCCCCTCCCCCTCTCTTTTCCTTCTTTAGATCATCCAGCCAAGAAGATGAAAAGCACCGAAAAGGAACTCGGTCTGGTGGCCTACACCGGCGACTCGTCGGACGAAGAGGAAGACCACGGGGGTCTTAAAAATGCAAGTAGCTACTCCCAAACCTGGAGGTTAGGGTACCAGTACCCGTCGTCACAGCAACGGGCGAAGCAACAGATGCCCTTCTGGATGGCCCCTTAGGGTCTCCTTCCCTCCTGCCCCACTCTTCGCCCTCCGTCTCGAGCAATAAAACCGCATGTATTTCCGATCAAAGACAATGCCCGTGCAAACCCGGAAGCTCGTCTGCCGCTCCCTGCTCTCTGCACTCTGCACATGCTTTTGAGATGCAGTTACGCCTCTTTTTTTCTTCTTTTTCTTCTTTTTTTTTTTCCCTGTGTGGCCGGGCTGTTTTCCGCCTGCATCCCTCCCCGGACGTCCGCCGTTTGGAGCGACTCGTGGGGGTGGGGGTGAAAGAAAAACCGCCGGCTACTTTTTGGGCGACACGACGGCCGTCGGTTTGGTGCGACGACTCGCAAAAGCAGCCTCCTCGCCTCGGCCCCGGGCTCTGGAATCTTCTCTGCGGCATCTTTTCGGGGAAGGAAAAGCCTTCGGAAGAGGCGCCAGCCAGCCAGCTTGACCCCCCCCACCACCACAACGCCACCCCGGCTGCCGTTCCGTGTTCGTTTTCTCGCCCCTGGGGCCGTGTGTATGTGAGATGCTTCCACCTTCTGGAATGGAGAACGGAGGGGAAAAAAAAACAACCCTTGCTTGACTGGATCATATATTTTTTTTTTATTTGACTCTTCGAATCTTTTCCCAAGAAGGGATTTCTGTTCCTTTTTTTCCCCCGGCGTTTTTTTTTTTTTCCCTTTGGTATTTTTATTATTTCTTTTATTTGAGCGTTAGAAAAAATGCAGCTTTGGTAGCAGTGCAGGCAACCGTTTTTTGCATCCCGCTGGAGTTCTTTCGCCTGGCTGATTGAAAACACACAAAAAAGGCAAAGGAACGGCACGCAACGGGTGGAATTCAGACAATTCAGTTCAAGAATTCAGCCCCGCGGCGTTTTTTTTTTTGTGTTTGTGTCTTTTTTAAAAAATCCCAGCTTCCTCCAACCGGCATCGAGTTCATTTTGGCATGGTTAACAACTCTCCAAATTGCAAGCGGCGACCACGTTTCGTTTTTGTGGTTGTTTTCCCTTTCTTTTCTTTTTTTAAAATACTTCTCCTGGGATTGATAGAAGGCAGTCTTGGCCTTGGTTTCTATCGTGGTTCGGAACTAACCAGTTTTCACCCGGATTGTTTACCTGGTAAAAACGAGGGGGGGGGTTGGTTAATTTTTGTATTATTGCACGATGAAATGCGCAGCCTTGGAAATGGAGAACCGCAAGACTCTCAGCTTTCCTCTCCCTGTGTGTGTTCAGACTGCAAAAGAATATTTAAAATAATTGGAACAAGCGTCGGATTATCTTTTTTCTGGCTGCTTCGCCCCAGAGCAACCCAACCCCCCGCCCCCTACCCCAAACCCCTCACTCTGTTCTCTGATATTTTTTTTTCTACATGTTGTAAATAAATTGAACCATAATTTCACGATAAATGTACAAATGTACTTCTTGTCTGGTTTTTTTTCTTTCTTTCTTTCTTTTTAAGGCAGTTTCTAGCAAGCTGAAGCATTGAATCGCAGTTTGGTTTTGGAAAATTTAGTTTGGTTTGTTGGGGGCCGCGAGGGAGAAGGTTGGTTGAAGAACCCTGGGAGGAAGTTTTCCTAGTTTTTTGCATTTCATTTCCAACAACAGGTTGAGCTGTATTTGTTTGCCTCGGCAAATTTTAAGATGTGTGGACTCCATCTCCCAGAATTCCCCATCTTCAAGCTCCCCAAATCCCCTAGCCAATTTATGCAGATTCCAACTCCCAGAATTCCCCAACCAGCATCTGTGTGGACTTCAACTCCCAAAATTCCTTGGCCTCTGTCGACTTCAACTGCCAGAACTCCCGAACTTATATAGATTTTAGCTCCTAGTATTCCCTAGCCAGCTTGTGGAGATTCCCAACTCCCAGAATTCCCCAGTCATCTTCTAGCTCCCAGAATTCTGTAGGCAGCTTATGCAGACCTCCAACTCCCAGAATTCCCCAGCCAGCATTTGTGGACTTCAACTCCCAGAATTCCCTAGTTTCTAGCTCCTAGAATTCCCTAGCCAGCTTGTGCAACCCCCCCAACTCCCAGAATTCCCCAGTCAGCATCTATGGATTTCAACTCCCAGAATTCCCCAACTAGCCTATGTGAACTTTCAACTCTCATGTTGGCTGGGGAATTCTGGGAACTGGAAAAGCCTGCATTCAAGGTGGTCGAAGCTGGGCTCTCAAAAGCCTCAATACAGATATTTATGTATTCCCCCTTCACCCATGCAGATGTTAGCAGCTGTTCTCAAGAGAGCCTCATCTGGCTGGAATGGGGTGACACGCTAAGCCAAAACCAAACCACGTTTGCCAGGGCATCCTGGTTTGCAAAGCCAACTGACCCAGTTTGAGCCTTGGCGGGGAGAATATATATATTCCAATTAAATGTGTGTGTGTGCAATATATATATCATATATATATTTATTTCATATACATACATACATTTATTTTTGGATTTTTCGACACAAGGACAAAGAGAAGCGGGGCCTTTTGTTGCAACCCAAACGTCCAGTATAACATCGAAACCCAACACCTTTTGGAACCCTCAAACAGGCTTGCTCTTCTCTTCGCTCTCACCCACAGAAGACCCACCCTACCCACTGGACGGGGTGGAGACCCCTCGGCTGCATTCGCCGAGTTCAATACACAGCCAATCGGGTCAAAAACCGCGTTCCCTCCCACGCCGCCGGCGGGTCCTTTTCCCCGCACGGGGGGGGGGCGGGGGAACCCCTTTCACTCGAGAACCGGAATTGTAACCTCCCACGCCCCAACCGCCTCCTCTTTGGGAGCGCCAGCGACCTCGAGGAAGGCGGCTGCGTGAAGCGTAAGGGGGCGGAGCCAGCGGGGAAGAGGCGGGGCGTGTGGCCACACACAGTCGGCGCCGTCGCCATTTTGTCCGCCTCAGCGGGCGGGAAGATGAGGCGGGGGATCGCGCTCCGTCGCGTGAGGCAAAGCCAGGCCCGTTGACGCCCCTCCCCCCCCCCGCGAGGGGTCCCGAAGGCCTCTGAGGCGGGATGGAGCCCACCGGGCCTCGGGGCCCGGCTGGAGTCGTCTCCGGCCCGCCTGCGGGGCAACCCCGGGAGTACAAACTGGTGATGTTGGGCGCCGGCGGGGTCGGGAAAAGCGGTACGTGAGGCGGGGAGAAGCCGGATTTGGGCCTGGAGGGCTTCGTGCCCGAGGAACTCTCTGACACTAGAAGCCCCAAAGCCCCTCTGGGAAAGAGTTTTGCAGCTCCTGGACCTGGGGAGGAAGCATTAAGCCTTACCCTTCCCACTTCTATGGCCTTGAAAAAGAGATCAAGAGTGCCCGCGGAACTCCCTGCCACAAGAAACCCCAAAGCTTTTAGAGGGAGTTGGGAGAACTGGGGGGGGGTGGATTGAGCCCCTCTCCCCACTTTTATGGCTTTGAGAAAGGGCAAGGGGGTGGGAAAGGGCCAGGCTGGGCCTTGAGGGCTTAGTGCCCGTGGAACTCCCTGCCACTAGAAGCCCTAAAGCTCTTCTGGGAGGAAGCTTGCATCCTATAAGTGCCGGGGGGGGGGGGTCTTAAGAACCTCTCCCCAGATAGATTAGATTAGATTAATAGATAGATGATGGATGGATGGATGGATGGATTGATGGATGGATAGAGAGAGAGATAGAGAGATAGATAGATAGATAATAGGTGTAGATAGATAAATGATATTAATAGATGATGGATGGTAGATGATAGATAGATGATTGATAGATGATAGATAATAGATGATAGATAAAATAGATGATAGATTGATAATAGATGTAGATAGATGAATGATATTGATAGATGGTAGATAGATGATAGATGATTGATAGATAATAGATGATAGATAAGATAGATGATAGATGATTGATAGATAATAGATGTAGATAGATGAATGATATTGATAGATGATAGATAGATGATAGATAATAGATAATAGATAAAATAGATGATAGATGATTGATAGTAGATGTAGATAGATGAATGGTATAGATAGGTGAGTGATAGATGAATAATTTATATAGATGATAGATATAGTTAGATGAATGATAGAGTGATAGATGATTGATAGATAGGGAGATAGATGATAGATGAATGATATAGATAATAGATAATGATAGATTGATGTTAGAGTGATAGATAAGGTAAAGGCAATTAAGATATATATAGTATAGAGAGGAGCAATTAAGAGATACACACGCACGCATATATACATACCGGTGTGTGGGTGTTTTATGTGTTTGTGTATGTACTGTAGTATGTATATATGTATATATATGTAAGTAAGTTTTTGGCTGGGTGTGTTGCAGAAAGGTTTACCTTAATAAAGGGGGAATAATTATTGGCTGAAACCCCCATATTTATTCCTGAGAAGGTTTTTGTGATAACCTTTTGTGTTTGATTTACACCCAGAAGACCTGCCATTATTGTTTTGGGTGGAACCATGTGTTTACTCTCAAAACATACTGGGAGCCTTTTATTATAATTGTATTTATTATTTATAGCCCAAAGTCCTTCAAATGTTATTTTGGGCGAAACCACATGTTCACTCTTGAAACTGATACATTGGGAGCTTTTTATTATAATTGTACTTATTTATAGCCAGGAGTTCTGTAATTATGATTTTGCGCTGTAACCATATGTTTAATTCCAAGATTGATATGCCAGAAACTTTTTATGATTGAATGTTTTGTTTTTATGCACAGCCTGAAGACCCGTGTATTTGTTATTTTGAGCTGAAACCATGTATTTATTCCTAAGATTGGCCCAGCAGAAACTTTTATGAGAATTGTGTTTATTTAGAGCTGGATGGTGTACGGTGACTCCGGGCAGCTGAGATAAGACTGATAAAATGCAGAATGGATTGTATAGAATTGACTCTGAATTTGTGTAGTCAAGGCTCGTATTTTGAAATTGCTTGCTAGCAAACTGTCAACGGATGGAGCTCTAGTAACCTGGCCAAACTAAAGATCCCAGTAAGATAGTTGCTGGGGACTGGTCAAAATAAATTTATAACCTCTGGTCAAAATCTTCTCCCATGCACTGTCTCGGAGCAGTCTCCATTTTCACTCTCCTTGTTTGGTGTTAACCTGCTTCTTTCTTCCTCACAGCTATGACCATGCAGTTCATCAGCCATCGTTTCCCGGAAGACCATGATCCCACCATTGGTGAGTGGGTCTGGGTGCTGCTTTTCCCCTTTTTACTTAGGGAGGCTTGTCCAGCTGGGTTTGGTGGGAGTTCCTGCCTATCTCAAATCCTCCTGTAAAAATGTTGGATTTCAGTTGACTGAAAGAGGCTTTATAATCTTATTAAAGAATGTCAAGAAGTCCATCCTGGCTGTTTTGACCTAGTCCTCTGGGATTTATTTATTTTTATTTTTTTGCTTCCTGTCTTCTTTTCTTGGCAAACCTCTTCTTGAGATTTCAAGCTGCACGGCCTTCAGAAGTTGTCTCAGCGACTGGGCTGAGAAGCCACTTCTGACATTGCACTCTTGATAAGGAAAATGCATTTGTCTGTGGATAAGTTGCAAGGAACAAATGACTTTTGTGCTCGATGCATCCCTGTGTAGGAGGAGCTAATGATGAACCCTGAATAAAGAAACCGAAACTTTAGGATTCAAGGAACTGTTAACTTTCTATTACAGCAACTCAGAAAATATAGGGGGTTGGTGCTTCTACACACGCTCCTAGAATCACAAAATAAGATACCGCCAGAATGCAAACAATTGACTATTGCATTAAGATGCTGGGACTCTTCCTCATTCATCAGTCTAATCTGTCTAATCTCAAGGGTCAGGTGGGAAGAATCAGGACCGGATGCTCAGTTCCAATTAAGATGATTTATTGCTCAGGCCGATACACAAGAATCTAGTCAACTCACAGGCCAGCACTAAATGGATGGTAGATAAGAGTTAGGGGAATTCAAAAGAGGTTGGACTTGGAGCATTTGTGGACATGTAAGGATTCTAGGCCAAGTTCTGTCTTGACTCTGCCCCCCAGCTCTGCCTCTCCTCTGATACAGCCCACCCTCACCCTATCCATTTATGAAATAAAAATGGCATCTTGCAAAGTCAATGAAGCTGGCTGGTCTTCTCGGTTTAGCCAAATCCATTTGTAATCCAGGCAGCAAAAGTGCTCCTGTTGATGCGTTCAGGAAAATCATACTTGCACGGTGCCCCCAAAAACCTCTGCATGTCCCCCCACCCCCCCAAAAAAATTCATTAATCTTGAATGTGAACACCTATGGAAAAAAATTTGAAGACCCTATTATCTGGCCTTTTCTGACTGCCTGTCTCCCTGTAGAGGATGCTTACAAAATGCGGATCCGGATTGACGACGAACCTGCTAATCTGGATATATTGGACACTGCAGGCCAGGTATTTGACAACCATGTAGCCTTTCCTGCCCTCCCACCCCCCCCAGGCTTTAGTGATTTCTCAACACTTCCTCCTCTGGGGTGGCTGCATGTCACAGTTTGCATGCTTTGTGTGGAAAACAATCTCTTAGTGAATTCCTGGTGGAGGCCAGAATTGAACTGGGGACTCAGTTTACATAGTTCGGCTGCTTCTTTTGTCACCGTCATTAAATGATATTTTTAAAAACTTATTATATTCTGGCAGCCCAGTTGTTCCCTGCACTTTGCCAGCCTCAAAAAAATCTTGCAGGAGGAAGCTTGCTGAAATCTCTTTGGCTGGCAACCAAAAAAAAAGAAAAAAAACATATTTTCCCTTCTCACAGGCCGAATTCACTGCTATGAGAGACCAATACATGCGAGCCGGCGAGGGGTTTATTATCTGTTACTCCATCACGGACCGCCGAAGTTTTCATGAAGTCCGGGAATTTAAACAGCTCATCTACCGTGTCCGGCGTACGGATGAGACTCCGGTTGTTTTGGTCGGCAACAAGTCTGACCTGACTCAACTCAGGCAGGTAAAAAGACTTGAAACGCAGACAAGATTTACCAGTAGTCCTCGGCCGATGGCCACGATGTGAGCCCCAGATTTCTCTTGCGAAGCGAGACGTTAAGTGAATTTTATTGTCATTTTATGACCTTTCCTGCCACAGTTATTAATCAACGTGGTTCTTAAGTTAGTCACACGGTTGCTAAGTGAATCTGGCTTCCCCATTGACTTTGGCCGGTCAAAAGGTCGCAAGTGGGGATCACGAGATCCCCGGGACCGTCATAAATACAAACCAAGTGTCTTGCGTTTTGATCACATGACCGTGGGGGATGCTGCAACCGTCGTCAGTGTGGAAAACGGCCCTAAGATACTTTTTTTCAGTGCCGTTGTAACTGAACGGTCACTAAATGAGTGTTGTAAGTCAAGGACTAGCTGTACCACTTGTGCATCAGAGCAACATGGTTGGCATAAATCAGGTATTCCTAGCTGTTCTGGCACATAGATGTATCAAAATTCTTGAAAAGTCATTCTATTTCCAATGAAAATACTAGTGTCAAGACTCCGACATGCACCCCCATTCAGATCATAAGTCTCTAGCCACATCACTCAGCGTAAAAAAAAAAAAGATTTATTAGAAGTTGACATGTCGGCGTTTCCCGG